AAAATGATGTCAACAACACAACAATCACTACACACCTTTCTAGTTACACCCTGAAGTGCTTTGGTGAGCAAGAACAAAGAGGGTCAGTTCCTTACTCGGAAGGGTGAGGGAGCCACCAATGGAGCCTGGGGTCTGGGTAAGCCTTGGTGAAGATGATTCTTTAGATTCACTCTCTGGATCAGTACAGACACTTTCAGACTTTTTTGTCTTGGCTAGTTTCAAAGTGTAATAATCTAGATCTTAGTCTCCTGGGTAGCCAAGATTGTATGTATGAGTGCACAGCTCCGATTACTTTTTAAAACCAATTACTTATCTAAGCCTTCACTGCCTCCTGCCCAGATCACTGAAATGACCTCCCAACTTCCCTTGCTTCCATTTTCACTCTCTTGCAATATTCTCAACCCTGTAGTCAAGGATCAGGTTACAGCAGAAGTCAGCCCAGGCCATGTTCTTGCCCCTCCTCCAACTCATCCAGAGTTAAAAGTCAGAATCCATCCAATGTGTCATAAAGCTGTCCTTGGTTTAGATTCCTCTACCTCTCTGTTCTCATGTCCTCCTCTCAACTCTGGCCCTGGCTTATTCATTTTTCAGTGCTTCCCCAAACACATGGACCAGATGCTTTTCTTAAGAGGAACAGGGCTATCGCCTCTGTTTGAACAGCCTTTCTTCAGATATCTCCCTGGATCTCTTTATTTCTTCATGTTTCTGCCCAAATGTCAATGATTGGGGTTTTTTCTGACTACACTCCTGTCAATGAGCAACTCTACTTCCCAGACATCTCCCACATCCTCTACTTTGCTTTCATTTTCCCTCATAGCTCCTATGTTTGATGTAGTATATATTTTATTAATTTTATTAAATTCTGCTAAAATGATGGCAAGTTTTATTTTGATCTGCTTGCCATTGTATTTCTAGTGCCTGAAACATATTAGTATTTCTCAAGTGTTTGTTACGTTTCTGATTGTATGTTTTTGAGGACATTGAATGGAGAAGGAACAGCAACCAAGGGAAGAAACCGAGAAACAAAAAGCTGGACTTTGACAAGAGTTATTATACTGTGTGTGTGTGTGTGTGTGTGTGTGTGTGTGTGTGTGTGTGTGTGTGTGTGTCTGTGTGTGCACACGTGAGCACATGCATGCACACAGGTACTCAGGCTTGATCTCAGGACCTCTTACACTTGCTTAACTTTGTCTTGCTCAAGGCTGTCACTAACACTTGAGCCACACCTGCACTTCTAGACTATTGCTGGTTAATCGGAGAGTCTCATTAATTTATCTTCACTTGGGCTGGCTTTGAACTGAGATCTTCAGATGTCAGCTTTTTGAGTAGGCAAGATTACAGGCATGAGCCACTGGCACCCAGAAATAATCATTATATATTAAGGAAGAAAGATAATTAGAATTAAGAAGAGAAATGAATAGAGAAAGAGGTGAGCAATGTCCACCTGCCTTACATGGGTAAAGGTATTTCATCCATTGCTGGGACCACATGTAAATAAGTAAGAATACCAAGGAGAAGTTTAGCCTGCTCCAAGTTTTATAGATTTTATCTCCTGTCATCACTCTGGTTGAAATGAGAATTTCCTACACAAGCAAGTCAGACATGTGGCACAGAGTGGAGTTGAGAGGGTTGAATGGCGATGGATTAGTTGTGTTCCATCTGGCATCTCAGCCCCACTAATGCTGCAGTGTGAAGTCTTCCCTTGGTAGGTAGGGCAGGATGACAGATTGTTTTTAATATTTGCTTTTGTTATACAATGGGTTCTTTTTCTTTGCAGTTCCATTTTATTGGTTTATCTACTGCTTTTCTCCAGACCAAGTAGAGACATCTCTAATTTCTAAAGAGAAGCCCAGACCTCATCTAAACAAGGAAGCATTTGGTTGTGTTTTGTTGTTTGTTTAAATTCTCAGTCTTGGGCTCAGATCATTTTGTATGGGATTGAAAGGGACTGATAGATGAAAGGTGAGAAAGAAGAGAGAGAGGTACTGGTACATGAAGAAGAGGCAAAAGAAAAGGAGGCAAGGTAGAGCAGGACAGTCATTTCAATATCCTCTTCCAGCAACAACTGAGTGATAGAGACTTCCCAGCCTTTCTCCTCTGTCCTCTACCTTGTGATAGAAGTTTTAATAAACAGTGACAGATCAGAGAAACCAAGGAAAATAATCGGATAATATAGATAGATAAATAATATAGATAGTCCACATAGATAAATAATATAGATAGTCCACACTTGTCTCTGGAAACATAGATAATTGAAAATATAAATAATCTGGATTTCAAAGCACTCTTTTTTCTGATCTCAAAATAAGGGAAATCATAAAAGAAATGTAAACTGACACTACTTTACATAATCTGTTATGGCTGCCTTAATTATTAATTTACACAAAGAACAGCATTATTCTTTCCAATGCAAATGATAGTGCTCTCATTTACTCAAGTGATAGCGGCCCTAAGATACTACACTTAAGTTCATCACATTTTTAATTCCACCAGCATGATTTTAATCTGTCGGACTGGTCCCATCAGAAAGACATATGCTTCTTAAAACATGAAATATTCAATAAGCATTACCTGGCCACAATAGATACAACCATCTTCTGTACCTGAACAAAAGTAAGGATTTTTTTGCGTAGTCTCCCAGCAATTCTCACTCTCAAGCCTTTTTGACAATATTTTAAAGGAGGCAAGGATGAATTACTTCAGTGAATTTTTGTAAGAACAGAAAAATGGCTGACTTTAAAACAGAGCAAAGTAAAACAATATACAACACACTTTTAAAATTTAAAACAGCTTACCTTTTAGACATGAGTTTTTCATATAAATTGTAGTATTTTTTTCTATAGAACTCAACATTTCCGTCATTAATCTTTGGCATAAGTAATTTCCAAGTATAAGAGAAGATACTTCTTGCAAATAAGCATAATATGCTAATATTGGATCTGATATGGTATTGGAAGTCAATGGTATGATATCCTTACTTGTCAATTAAGCAAAAAATAGAGGATATCAAAGAGGGGGAGAAAAAGACTCTAATAAATTCTAAATATCAGAGGCCATATAAAAACTGTAGATTTCGGTGTATTCCAAATTAGTAAGTTTGGTAGAACTTCCGAGAAGTACTGTGGAGAAACTCCATAGAACACTAGTGCACTGTAGAGAACTGATGCTCAGTGTGGACTAGATTTAATGTTCTTAGAAGTCAGTACTCCCTAAGCTCTTTTATTTCACAGGAAATTGCAAGCTGTAAGTACATCTTTACTACTTGAGAGGAAATAGGAAGGTGAGAAGTTTAATCTCTGCTACTGTATCTTTTGAAAAATCATATGGCTTTAAAATACTTGGAAGTTTTATAAAGTCTACAAATTAAGATGCCTGTAAGAACTATGAACTATTTAAGAACTCGTAGCTATCATTTTTCAAAATGGAAATAGGAGGATGGCAAATATATTTGGTTAAAGAATAAATGCATTTAGTGTGTTTGGTTTGAAAAGTTATAAAGATGCAGCTATACAATTATATATGCTTGCATATATTCTGTGTGGAATGTTAGCAGAAATAGACATAGCAAGTAAATGGTTTAGACTTCCTCTTGGTAGCAAAGTATATGATGTTACAGATGAAATATGTTGCCTTTCAGATCTGAATCTACCCTTCTTTGACTGTTTTGGGATACTGTTTCTCCATTGCCAGTAATCCTTGTTAATAAAGGACACTGGAGGGACACTGAGAGAATAGAGATTTTCCTCCTGGTTGTAGAATGCTTAGTTTTCCTTTTTGATATGGCTGCCAGTAATGTGGGCAACACTTTACAGAATTCACTTTACAGAATACACACCATCTGTGTAAGAATTCCTAGGGGGAAAGCTCTTGACACCAAGACCCCAGCAAATTTCCATCACCCACAGCCAAACTTCTTTCCAACAAGATCTGAGTCTCAGGTTTGTGTGATTCCATCTAGGAATTCTTAGTTTCCTCCTTGAATGTTTTCTTTAACCCTAGAGGTGTATGTCAGGAAAATAGGAATACAAGAATTTGAATCCCTTAATTCTTGAATACAAGAATTGAAATCCCTTCTTTTGGCAGTCATTCTTTTTTTTTTTTTTTTTTGCCTGTACTGGGAATTGGGTTTAACTCAGGGTCTCATGCTTACTCAGCTTTCTTCCTTGGGTGTCAGTTAAGCCATGGCACTAGTTCTGCTTTTTTTTTTTTTGGTCGATCATGGACGTTGAACTCTAGGCCTGGGCGCTGTCCCTCAGCTCTTCAGCTCAAGGCCAGTAGCTGGCTCTACCATTTGAGCTATAGCGCCATTTCCGGTTTTCTGGTGGTTTATTGAGGATAAGAGTTTCATGGACTTTCCTGCCCGGGCTGGCTTTGAACCGCGATCCTCAGATCTCAGCTAGGATTACAGGCGTGAGCCAACAGCGCCCGGCTGAGTCCTGCATTTTTGCTGGTCATTTTTGTGTATTCAATAATCACTAAATAATCCGGATTAAAAGTAAGTTAATGAAAAGAATTGTGTAAAATAGGGCCTCTAAAAATCACTCAAATCTAGTTTCGAATCCTAGTTCTTCTATGTAATGTGTGACCTTAGGCAAGTCTCTCCCTACTTCTTTTATTCTGAAAAAATGGTGATAACAGAAGCATTGACCCAGTGAATCCGATAGGACCTGTGGAGGCCTGGGTTGCACCTGTCAGAAACTGCCTGAAACCGAATCCAAACAACAGAGGCCTGAGCGTCTCCCACTTAACCAACAGTGGCTTGGCCACTGGGCGGGGCGAGCCACAAGTGTCGGGGAGCTTGGTGCACTGCTGATGGGCTGGACTCAGACTGTGATCATAAAGAACCAATAAGTAAATGTATCACCTCAACCCGGTCTTCCAAAACAGGCTCCGTCAACTCGAGGCCCCGCCCTTCCTGGGCCCGCCTCCTTCTGCCTGCAGGGCTGGTTGGCTCTTCTTCCTCCACTTCCGGCCTCACGGACCCCCGGATGCAGAACGGTTTCCGCTGTCATGGCAGCCTGAGGTCCCCGGAGGGAGTCGGTGCGGCGGCTGCAGGCCCCTCCCTGCGGAGCCGCGGGTCGGGCGCGCGGGGATGTGACGGCGGGCCCGGTCGGCCTGGCCCAGGCGTGCGGTCCACTGCCGTGTCAGCCAGCGCCCTCAGCCCGCGGCGATGGCGGGGTCCGGCTGTGCGTGGGGCGCCGAGCCGCCGCGCTTCCTGGAGGCCTTCGGGCGGCTGTGGCAGGTACAGAGCCGCCTGGGGAGCGGCTCCTCGGCCTCCGTGTACCGGGTGCGCTGCTGTGGCACCCCGGGCTCGCCCCCCGGCGCCCTCAAGCAGTTCCTGCCTCCGGGGACTACCGGGGCCGCCGCCTCGGCTGCCGAGTACGGCTTCCGCAAAGAGAGGGCGGCTCTGGAGCAGCTGCAGGGCCACAGGAACATCGGTAATGGTCGCTGCCTTCCTTCTCTCTTGGGGTCCCGGGTCCGGGTCCGAGCCAGCCTCCTCCCGGGCCTCACGTCCTGCCTAGCCTCGGCCGCAGGCCCCCCCCCCCTTTCCCATCTTCCCTTCACTCTCATCCGGTCCCCCCGAGTTGGTGGTCTGGTTTGTCATTGTCACATGACCTCTTAAGGGGCTACGCTCATTTGCATAGAGCTACCTTTCCCTAGTGAAAGGGGACCTGCCTTTGGTAGAGGGTGATGTCTTTAGTGGACATTGTCATGCCTTTGCCGACCAGTAGAAAATGGGAAATCGTCTTGTGCAATCAATGCTGGTCACCTCACATAGGTGACAACTGGTGACATGTAGTGTGGATTTTTGAGGAAGTGAGTCGATCTTATATAGGAGTCTCCCTAGAAGTGTGAAATTTAGGAAGGCTGCTTTTGATGTAGAAAGCTTGTTTCCATGACTCAGATACTCAGACATGCATGATATACAATGATCACTGATGATCTGTGAAAATAGTCTTGCCATTTACACCGTCAGAAAGCTTATAATTCGTTGTAACTTTGGTTATAACTAATATACAATGGCTTGCTCCTTTCTGGCAAGTATAATTTATATTTAATTTGAAGAATAACCTTTTTTATAACACCATGTTAGGGAATTCCTTGACACTAGCATTTCTCTCTTTGTAGCTTGCGAAATGATGTGTCACCATAAACTTGGTATTGAAGAGAAACATTTTGCAGTCCTCAGGACTTGTTGAATTTCAAGATGATGCTACAATATCTGAAAAGTCTTAATTTCTTCTATTAATATTCACGACCTAAAATACTATTTTGGGTCAAAAAGCAATCTTCAATTTTTTAACAGTAACTTAAATTAGGACTTTTAGTTTTTTACTGGTCACTTAAATGAAAATTCACTCACCATTTAATGTTTGGTGAAACAGTTGGAGTCATTGTGCCTTGTTTAATATCTTCGAAGCTGTTGAGGATTGCCTCGTTCTATTAGAATAACCCCGTTCTCCAAGGATCTTACACATGAGGAAAAATATTGGGCATTTGCCTCCTTATCAGTTATCCTCAGTTAAGACTATCTTAAATTTTTATTATAGTTATTTACCCTGGTTTTATATATTATAGTTATATACTCTGATTTTTACAGGAATATAATTCATTTCTCTTTCTAGTGACTTTATATGGAGTCTTTACAATTCACTTCTCTCCGAATGTGCCATCACGGTGTCTGTTGCTTGAACTCCTGGATGTGAGTGTATCGGAATTGCTTTTATATTCCAGTCACCAGGGTTGTTCAATGTGGATGATACAGCATTGTGCCAGAGATGTTCTGGAAGCCCTTGCTTTTCTTCATCATGAAGGTTATGTCCATGCAGACCTCAAACCACGTAATATTTTGTGGAGTGCAGAGAATGAATGTTTTAAACTCATTGACTTTGGACTAAGCTTCAAAGAAGGTAATCAGGTAAGAAGTACCTTTTCTTTCCATTTGTGTTTAAAATCTGGTGGAATAAGCCAAATATTATCAAACAGTAAGGATGAAAGAGCTGTTCTATCTAGAATAATGAATAAAAAAGGATCAAAATCAAAAAGAATTTCAGTGTTACTCTGAAAAATGGCATTTTTTTGGTCAGGTAAGGAGTGCTAGTAGGGCATAAGAAAAGTCTGAACTCAGTACTTAGCCTGCATAAAATGCTTTTTAAATTTTATGAGTATTTGGTTTATTTGTTGAGTTATAGTTCTTAATGTCTTCAGTGTTGGAGTTCTTTTTCATGGCAGAATGTATGTAGCAATTCAGGTAAATCCTTCATTTCCTGTGCCTTATCAACTCTTTGCAGTATCCCTCCTTTTTTTTTTTTTTCTTTTATCATCAGTACATGATAGGTAAGGAACTATCTGAAAACTTGTTTATAAGTGACCATACAGACACTGTACAGGTTGCCTGTGAGAATTGCCCAGTTAAAGAACACAAGAATTAGGATAGCCAAGGACTAAAAACTTTTGACATTCCTTTTGGAAATGACTTACTACCTTGTTAGAAGAGATGGAAAGTGAGTTTCTTTTTTATGGATTATAATACTTACTTATCTTCTTTAGGATGTAAAGTATATTCAGACAGACGGGTATCGGGCTCCAGAAGCAGAACTTCAAAATTGCTTGGCCCAAGCTGGCCTGCAGAGTGATACAGAATGTACCTCAGCTGTTGATCTGTGGAGCCTAGGAATCATTTTACTGGAAATGTTCTCAGGAATGAAACTGAAACATACAGTCCGATCTCAGGAATGGAAGGTAAACTGCACTAGTGTTTCACTGTCTTCAATAAATTTAAAAGCATTGTATTTCATTTGTGATGATTTATGTCAGAGAATTCAGTTGCATCCTCTTCTTCATATTTTTTCTGTACTTATTCTAAGTTGAATGCCACTGCTTACACCCATACTATAATCTAATGCCATTGCAGTCTCATTGTTTCTAGCCTGGGTCCTGGCATATAATAAGCATTTAACACAATGTTCAAATGAATTTTCTTAAAGAAGCAAAAGGGACTTCCTTTGTTTAGTTACATTAGATTCTAAGGACTTAATGGAATCAGAAGTTTCTGGTAAAATTGATCATCTTTTCATAATACTTCATGGAGATAATATACTTAATTATAATATGTAATAATTAGAGATATAAGTCTCATGGACTTACTTGCCTGGGTTGGCTTTGAAACACAGTCCTCTGATCTCAGCCTCCTGAGAAGCTGGGATTACAGGCATGAGCCACCAGCACCTGGCTTGTATAGAGTTTTAGCTCTTAAACTCCTAGATTGTGATTTCTGGTGTAACAGTTCCCAGGAAAAACATGCTAACATATACCTAAAGTTTATTATTTACCAAAAAATGCTGCCTTCACAGTATCTTTTTGCTATCTTGGGAGGGATTGAACTCAGGGCCTTGTTCTTGCTAGGTCAGCCCTCTACTATGCTCAGCTCTCCTAGTAGTTTTCTTTGCATTTAGTTTGATTTTCAGATAGCGTTTAATGACCATCTCTTCCTCCCAGATAGCTAGGATTCCAGGCTTTACACAAGCTATGCTGGCCTTTTTTATTTATTTTTTTATTTTTTTATCATTGGGACTTTTTTACTATCTTTAAATTCTTTTTTTCTTATTTTGTTCTTAATGCCCTTTTTTCATTTTTATTATAAAAATGATGTACAAGGGATGACAGTTGCATAAATCAGATGAGTACATTTCTTTTTGAACAATGTCACCCCTTCCTCATTTTCTCCCAGTTTTTTCCCCTCCTAATTCCTCTCCCTCCCAAGTTGTATAGTCCATTTCCAACATAGTGTCTAGTGAGTATCACTGCTGAATTAGTTCACCCTATTCCCACAATCTTTAAATTCTTTGGACTGTATCTGCTTGTCCCACATCTCATCAGATGCAGGTTACATTCAATTTTGTGTGGATTTGGGAGGTGTGACATGTACTAATAGAGCCCTGAATATATGACTTTCTAGTTAAAACATCGTTACTTTGTTTTACCACTTCCTATAGAGGCAAATTTGCCAAACATGCATGAGCAGGGACTCTGAAGTCAACTACTAGATGCATATCTTACTTGCACTCCCTGCTAAGCTACTTACTTGGGTTCATTAAGTTGTATTTTACTTTCTGTAAAGAGATTATGATAATATATATTTAGAGAATATCAAGATTAAAAAAGTAATGATACTGAGTTTTTACCATGATAAGTATGTAATACATTTTAGTGATAATGATGGTGTCACATATTTTACTTATGGATACAATTCTACATACAGAGTTAGCAGAAAATTCAAGGAGAAAATGTTGTAAACCATGAACATTTAGACTGAGTAATGGGACACATACAATGTTTTAATACTTATCATTTTCTCAGGGAGTGTGGGTTGCTTTTTTTCTGTCTGAAAAAACCAATTGAAGACTCATGATGAGGCATCCTTACTCAACTCTTACATTTTTTTTCTCATTTTACACTAAACTGAATCTTAATGTTGTTACTTTGGTTTTATTCATTCATTTACCAAATGGAATTGAATAACCTAAGACAATTTTCTTCCCCTTTTTAGGCAAACAGTTCTGCTATTATTGATCATATATTTGCTAGTAAAGCAGTGGTGAATGCTGCAATTCCAGCCTATCACTTACGAGACCTTATCAAAAGGTATATTACACATGCTATTACTTGCTTTAAATATACTTAATACCTGAGGGGGTTTTTCCTGAATATTTATATGTTGTTATTTCTGATATGCTTGATCATGTAGATATTTTATTTTATTTAAATAGGAGTTTTAGTTTTGATAACCTATATAAGCTAGCTTGAATATTTGCTTCTCATAAACATATGTATGTTCTTTTACAAAACTTACCTTCAGGACTGCTCCTTTGTTCATTATGAGTTCCAAAGCACATCTCTTTGTTTTTTAGTCTTGCCATGTAACCTGCAGTGGCCTTGCACTCCTGATCCTCCCGCCTCAGCTTTCCTAATGCTGGGATTACAGGCTTATGCCACCAGGCCCAGTTTTAGATGGAAAATAACTTTTTAAACAGTTTTTTACAGCCTGAACAAACAATCCATTTGATGAAAATAAGTGTTAATTAAATTTTAAATGAATACTCCATCAAACTCTGGAATAGATATTGTTTCTAATACTTGAATACATCAAAACAAAATTGTGTACTTTTAAAAATGTGTTGTCAAAGGATTGGCGGGTGTCTTATCAATATGCGCTAGAAACGAGTAAGATATTATGCCACGAAAGAAAGAGTCAATCTTTTCTTTACAGTTTCTTTGTGTATTGACCCTATAACTGATTAATAATCATAGGACATACAAAGTGTTAAAAAGAGGTCCAAACTTCACCTACTTTCTCCCCGTGGTAGCCTCATAGAATACCTACACTAGTAAATTGACATTGGTATAATTCATAAAGTTTATTTGAATCTTACCAGTTTCACATACTGATTAGTGTATATGTTTTTCTTTTTTTCTTTTTTTCAAATATATTTTAAATAACTGCTGTTAGTAGCAGATATTACAAGTTTCATTTTCTCATTGAAGAGATGGTAGTGTAAATTTACATAATGGATTTTAGCCTGGAAGTCAAATCATTTAAGTCCTGTTACTGAGTTTGTTGTTTTCCTTTTGGTTTTTTCATCCAGGTATGTTTGTGTGTGTGTGTGTGTGTGTGTGTGTGTGTGTGTGTGTGTGTGTAATAAAAGCTGCTCTCTCCTGTGTGTGTGTGTGTGTGTGTAATAAAAGCTTCCCTCTCCCATAATACAAATAGTGCTAAACTTGACAACTACTGAAAAATTGTGATGAGGAGATTAAAAAAAAAGTATTTTGGTGTATTTCCTTAAGATATTTTTCTGCATGTTGTGTGTGTATGAAAATTGAACTCTATTGACATATAAAACATAGCTACTGAACGTGCTAGTAAAACAAATGTGCTGTGTATTGAGTCCTTAGGAAGATTGTAGCTTCTCTTCAAATCAAGCAATCAAACTGCCAAGTATCCTAGATGTCTTAGCTGCATCCCATCCCAAGTTTTTAAACCCCTACTTTCTCCCCAAAATTAACCACTGTGCTGATTTCAATAATTGTAGTTTCACTACCCAAGCATGCATCCTTAAATTGTTGTTTAGTTTTTCTCTTCTAAAAAAATGTATTTATGTCTCTTTTTAAAAGATCCTTTTCTATCTCTTCTTCCCTTTTTTCCCTTTGTAATTTACCTGTTGTATAACCTGGGTTGTTGACTTAGGAAAATTTTTCCACAGGCCAAAGTTTGTTGATTGTATCAGAGTAATTTCACATATTTCCATTTAGCTCTTTTAAAATGATAGTTATATCCAAAGAGTTAGAATGTTTTGCTGGTTAAAAGCCTAAAGATGGAATTGTGTTTTTCCATTAGATGGCACGTGATGTGTTTATCTGTAGTCTGAGTTACCGGCTGTTGTTACTCAGTACCTAAATGCAGTGCTTTGTAAGGATTATAGTATGGCCGTAATCTTCAGTTATTTGTTCTTCATTTGATTAACTGAAGAATTTTTGCTTTTTGTATCTAGAGATCCTTTCTTCTATCAAAATAAATACTTGATTCTTTTTTTTTTTGCTAATTTTTAAGCTAATGAAGTGTGATTCCTTGTCATCTTCCAAAGATGTTCACTCTTTTCTATAATTTAACATATCATTATAAACTAAGGGATTTAAATATGTTTGATGTATTTCAATCCACTGCCATTATTATCCTGTTTGAAACCAGAATCATTACATTTTTTCTGAATGGAAGGAGCCTCTGAATGTGGGTTTTGGAAGGTATAGAGAGCTTCTTTACTGTGTGGTTTTTCAAGTTTTCCCAGTTCATCTTAGACATTTTATTTATTTATTTATTTATTGGGGTCCAGTCGTGGGGCCTGAACTCTGTCCCTCAGCTCTTCAGCTCAAGACTAGCGTTCTACCACTTGAGCCACAGCGCCATTTCCGGCTTTTTTCTTTTTGCTTATGTGGTGCTGAGGAATCGAACTCAGGGCTTCAGGCATGCAAAGCAAGCGCTCTACCACTGAGCCACCTTCCCAGCCCTTTAGTGGGATTTTAAAACCACTCATTGCTGCTGGTATGGCCATTATTACTAGGCCTTTTAAATGGATAGAGTTTTTACTGATATTTCCAATTGGAAGTCAAGACCACAGAGTTTTTGCTTTTATTTTTATATTTGTATTTTCTCTTTTGCACATTATAATTCCACACATGGTTCTTAAGGACAAAGGAGATGCCAGGATTCGAGTATTTCATATTATTAATTGGCTTTATTCCATATTACACATAAAATAATCTCAAAGTAATAGTATTCTTAAAACGATTGCATCAAATGATTATTTTTGCATCTATCCATTCTTATTTTGAAATAATTGTATTTCTATCATTTTATGTAGCTATTATATATTATACATAGTCTGCTTTAATTACCTTTCATTTAGTCTTGGTTCTGCCTGTAGCTATATAGTTACTGTTTATTACTTAGTTCTGTCTCTACCTTTTGTACTATCCTTAATCTTCTCGAGGAAATGCTAATCTTTCTTAAGTTTTTGTTTGTTAATGATTGTGTTTGTTGTACTTGAAAGTATTTTTAGCTCCCTTTACAATTCTTTGGCATACATTTTTCTTTCCTTAAATATCTGAAGCAAGTTATTCTGTTTTCTTCTGACATTGAGTGTTGCTCAAAATTGTCTTTTCATTACAAGTCACTTGGTTTTTGTCTAAATGTAGAAACCTTTTCTTCAAAGTCTAGCAATTTTATCAAAATGTATCTTGATTTTGATAGTTTCTGTTTTCTCAGAAACATGGTATGCATTTCACTTGCAAATCATTTGTTTTGTTTGAGAAAGCTATTTCATTTCAGTTAATTTTATGAGATAGGGCCTTACTGTGTAGGCCAGGTTGTCCTCAAACTTGTTATCTATTTACCTCTCTCTACCTCTGAGCACTGGTAATACAGATACATAGAAGGTAGAAAGGAGAAACTTAAAACAACAGCAATAAAAACCAAAAGAAAACCTAGGCAAAAGAAAACCTTATTAATCCCAGCTACTTGAGAGGCGATAGGAGAGTATGTATACTGGTTTGAGCTCAGTCTTAAGTGAAAAGTTAGTGAGACCCTATCTCAAAGAACATGCTAGGCATGATGATTCACAAGAATATTCCAGCTGCCCAAAGATTGTGGTTTGATTTTGGCTTTGGGTAATAGACACAGTACCTACTTGTAGGTGGGGATAGGAGGGAAAAACTGGGAAAGGGCAAGGGAAGGGGTGACATTGCCCAAAAAGAAATGTATTCTTTCCCTGATATTACCTGACTTATGTAACTCTAAACCCTCTGTACATCATAATAACAATACAATTTTTTTAAATCCCACAAGACTCTTTACAAAAAAATAAAGCAAAAAGCACTAGGTGTGTGGTTCAACTAGAAGAGTTCTTGTCTAGCAAGTGAGTTACCTTAAGTTCATATCTTAGTACTATCAGAAGAAGAAGAAAAGAGGAGAAGAGAAGAAAGCTATGACCTAGTCAAGAAAAGTATCAGTATTAAGTATAAGAAAAAAAATGCAATACAAGTAAAAGTGTCTAGAGAATTAAGTCCAAGCCAGCCTGGGTTACATAGTTACCCTGCCTCAAAAACTTAAGAGTTCAGGATGTAACTCAGCGGTAGAGCACAGGCCTAATTTGAGCAAGGCCTTGGACCTGACCCCTAGAACCACATCCTTTCATTTCCAATCTTATTTTATGAAATCCTTTTTGATTTCTAATTATTTTTAATTTTTATTAACATTTTATTCACCCTCGTAAATTTTCTAATTCTTAATTAATGAATCTGGGGGATTTACTAATTTGAGTTTATGTTGTTGTCTCAAATATTCTTTTAAAAAAATCTTTTATTTTGAAATGGTTTATGATGGCCATCTCTGTTCATTTATAAATTTTTAGCAAGCAAGTCATTGAGATATTTTGTGATTTTTTTTTGTTATAGTATAATCTTTTTCTATTACTTTATCTGAAACTTAGACATGGTCAAATTAGTTTTTCTAGTTTTATACTCTTGTTGTTTTTATGTATTGTTAAAAAAAAAAAACTAGGCATGATAGGACATGGCTTGTAAATCCCAGTATTGAAGAGGGAGGATCTCAAATCTGAGACTAGCTTGCAAAACTCTCTTACAAAGCAAAATAAAACTTTCCCTCCCTAAGCACCCCCGCCTCACCCCCCAGACCTGGCATTTTGTTCTCTTTGTTTTTGTTTTTTTCCTCAACTTGGATTCTGTTCCCAAGATTTTTTCTCATTGGTGGGATGTTGCCTTGGGTGAATACTCTGACAGACTAGTTTGAAGAGGACTACTGCCTGGAATAAGCCAACTTCTGTAAATTTTAGAAGATCCCTTTTATTCACCTGGTTTTAAAATGGATAAGCCCTTGTAATATTAGCTGTTTTTCTTCATATTAGTCTGCTGTGCTTTCAAGAGTATCTGTTGGCTATTTTGGATTATTTTACATGGTTTGTTAGGTATACTGTTGCTTTTCTCAGCGCTTCTTTTGTTTTTGTTTTTCCAGTCCTGGGGCTTCAACTCAGGGCCTGAGCACTGTCCCTGAGCCTCTCTATGCTCAAGGCTAGAGCTCTACCACTTGAACCACAGTGCTACTTATGGCTTTTTCTGCTTATGTGGTACTGAGGAATTGAACCCAGGGCTTCATGCATGCAAGGCAAGCACTCTACTACTAAGCCACATTCCCAGCCCTTCTCGGTTTTCTTACCTATAGATTCTGATACCATGCAAGCCCTACTGCCATTGATGTATTTTGTTCTTATAGTTTTGCTCTTGATGTTATCTGTGTTTGGTTTTACATCTAGTTGCTTTATAATTAAGGGAAATTGTCACAATTCAATTTTCCTACCACTTGCTTTTCTTTTTACTCACGTGTGTGTGTGTGTGTGTGTGTGTGTGTGTGTGTGTGTGTCTGTCTGTCTGTCTGTCTGTCTGTCTGTCTGTCGTGGGATTTGAACTCTGGGCCTGGGTGCTGTCCCTCCTCTCTACAGCTCAAGGTGAGCACTCTACCACTTGAGCCACAGTACCACTTCCAGTTTTCTGGTGGTTAATTGGAGATAAGAGTCCTATGGACTTTACTTCCTGGGCTGGCTATGAACCACGATCCCCAGATCTCAGCCTCCTGAATAGCTAGGATTACAGGCATGAGCTACCTGTGCCCAGCTATTTACTCATTTTTTAAATAATATTTCTTAAATTTAACTATCACTCCAAATCTTTGTCTAGATGTTTGTGTGTGTGTGTGCGTGTGTGTGTGTGTGTCTTGAATTCAGGCCTGGGTGCTGTCCCTGAGTTGTTTTCTTTGTTGTTGTTTTTTTGTTGTTGTTGTTAACTCAAAGCTAGCATTCTACACTTGAGCCACATGTAGTTCCACACTTGTGGCTTTTTTGTTGTTTAACTGAAGATAAGAGTCTCATGAACTTTCCTGTTCATACTGGTTTTGAACTGTGATCCTCAGATCTCAGATTCCTGAGTAGCTAATGTAACAGGCATAAACCACCAGTGCCCAGCTTGTCTGCCTTTTTTGGATCACTTTTTATTTATTTTTTTAATTTTATTTTATTTTTTTTTTTGGGTCCGGTCATGGGCCTGAACTCTGGGCCTGGGCACTGTCCCTCAGCTCTTCAGCTCAAGGCTAGCGCTCTACCACTTGAGCCACAGCGCCACTTCTGGCTTTTTTCTTTTTGCTTATGTGGTGCTGGGGAATCGAACCCAGGGCCTCATGCATGCAAGGCAAGCGCTCTGCCACTGAGCCACCTTCCCAGCCCCTGGATCACTTTTTAATGTATCACTTATTCAAAAACATTGCCAGGAGCCAGTAGTTTGTTGACATGGCCATCTTGCTATATTTATTTGGCATGGCCTTGAACCATGATGCTCCTCCCATCTCTGCTTCTAGAATAGCTGGAATCACAGGTATGAGCCACTGCATCTGGCCCATGTTTATTTTGTTTATATAGAATGGTTCAGTAACCTATGTTAATAGTTAATGCAATGAGAGAGTTTTATCTTTACTAACACAGAGAGTTTTATCTTTACTAATTGCATTTTCAGACTATTTGACAGTAATCCTAAAGGTACTTTTTCTCTGTTTTAGCATGCTTCATGATGATCCAAGCAGAAGGATTCCTGCTGAAATGGCATTGTGCAGTCCATTCTTTAGCATTCCTTTTGGTAAGTTGTGTATGTCTTACTACTTTTCCTGGTCATTTGCTATCTTAGAAATTATATTCCAAGGCCCTTTTGTTTGATATTTGTAATTTTATCTGGGAGGGTTTGCATTTAACCATATTATAATGACTTTTAATAGCCCCTCATATTGAAGATCTGGTGATGCTCCCTACTCCAGTGCTAAGATTGCTGAATGTGCTGGATGATGATTATCTTGAAAATGAAGAGGAATATGAAGGTCAGTGCTTCCTAATTATATTTTAGTGTGTTTTTCTTAATTACTCTAGAACATATGGATCTACTCTAACATTCTTTTGTTTTACCTAATTTATAGGAAAGTTAAATGAGGTCAGTGAGTGATATATGTGTATTCGTGCCTGTGGGTATGGGTACCAGTACCAGGGCTTGAATTCAGGTCCTTAAGCTCTTGCTCAGCTTTCTTGCTCCTGGCTGGCCTGTACCAGTTGAACCATACTTTCAGCTCAGCTTTTTGCTGGCTCATTGGAGATGAGGTCTTCTAGACTTTTTACTGGGTTGGCTTCAAATTGTAAGCCTCTAGGTCTCAGTCCCCTTAATAGCTAGGATTACAGGCAAGACACTAGTGCCTGACTCTAAAACACTCTTTGATTTATAAAATCCTTTTAAATCTTGTACATCTCATTTTACAAAACAAATAAAGAAGACATAATCTCCCCAGCAATTTCTATCTCTTTGGTTTGTCTTTTCTAGCCGTTTGCTGTGCTTTTCTATTTGTTCCTTTAGCTTTGTATTTTTAACAACTCATTTATTTATCCAAGACATATTGCTGTGTGTCATCATGGGATTGTTTCCTGTTTTTAGCACAAGAAAGGCATAATTATAGTTGTGATAATATAGAGAGTGGTAATCTAAGGGGCAGAGAGAATAGGAACTAAACCTGATCTGAGTGATCAGTAGGGGCTTTGCTGCATAGGGTATAATGTAAACCCAGAAATTAGTTGTTTAGCTAAAATTTGAGAGATTAGGGAGGAAATAAAAGAACATGGAGACAGTGCAGCATGTTCAGAGAACAGCAAGTTGGTATAACTATATCTTATGATATCTGTTGGAAAGCAATTGGTTAAAGCCAATGAGGTAGTCAAGGTATACATGTAATTTACAGACTTGATCGCTATTTTAAGAATTTGGATTTTATGCCAAGAGATAGTAAAGGTGAAATATAGCCTATATGAAAGAAAATATGCCACTACACCAGCACTTGATAATGTTTACTTTAGGGAGAAGGGCTACCAATTAAACTGTAGGGTTTATCACCCATCACATTGATATGAAGAGGATATCTGATATAGGATACAGGAAAGCAGATACTCTCTCTCATGCATCACTGGAGAAATAATTTAGATGAAATTACTAATTCATGTTAGTTTTGACCCAGCAGTTTATTAGTATCAACTGAGAAATATGCACGTTAAGTGATATATACACAATATTGTTTTTTCTTTTTCTTTTTTGCTGGTCCTGGTGTTTGAACTTGGGGCCTGGGTATTCCCTAGTATACTATTTGATGGTTTAAAATTTTGAGTAATGGGAAGTGACTCTGACTCAAGTGGTAGAGTGCTGCTAGCCTTGAGCTGAAGAGCTCAGAGGACAGCTCAAGCCCAGAGTTCAAGCCCTATGACTGACAAAAAACCATTTTTTTTGAGTAATGAATTATTGGTTATATCTGAGCAGTTCCTATTGTATGTTTTAATAAGCAGATGTTGTAGAAGATGTGAAAGAAGAATGTCAGAAATATGGACCAGTGGTATCTCTGCTTGTTCCAAAGGAAAATCCTGGCAGAGGACAAGTAAGTGATTATTTTAGATAGAGGTTATTACGACGTGTCTGGTAGGAAATTGTACACAAACATTTTGCTGAGAATAGAGAATTTCATGTTGTGGATGATTTTTATTTTTCCTAAAATTCTACAGTATGTTTGCTCTGTCAGTCACTTAATACTTATTTTTGTTGTTGTTGTTTTAAAGAATTCATTTATTTTTGAATCATTGTAAAATAATGTCACTCATTAAAACATTAGTTAATTTAGGTCAGGTTCAGCTAGAGAAATATTCAGTTTATTCAAACTAGAATAGAAAACCAAAACCAATTGGGTTAGTTTGGTGTGTGTGTGTGTGTGTGTGTGTGTGTGTGTGTGTGTTTTATTGATTTATTGATTGATTACTGTGGCTTGAACTCTTGGCTTCATGCTCTCAGTTGTTTTTTTTCTGCCATAGCTGGCACTTCACCACTTGAGCCTCACCAATATTTGATGGTTAATCAGATAAGAATCTCTCAGATTTGTCTGCCCAGGCTGGCTCCAGACCTTGATCTTATTTCTTAATTTCTTGAGTAGCTACGTTGTGAGCCTATGATCACCTAGCAATAATTAAAGAAAGGATATATGCTCGATTCAGTACCACAGGACCTGAATTTTAGTCTCAATGTGACTAGGGTTTGATGATCCTCACTCTCATCTAAAAAATGTAATGGACTGAAATATAATTGTAGCATTTTCATTAAATAACTGCAATTCTAAATTATATAGGGAAGAGCTCAAAATCTTATGTCTAGTACTTTTATTTTTTGATAAACAGAATATTGTGCAATGTTTCAGCTTTTTTAGTCTTACCATCATTGATATTTCAGTCTCATAAGTCTTTGTTGACAGTGCTGCTCTGTATAACTTGATTAGCAGCCTATCCCTCCTTCTTTGCCCACTAAATTCTTCTCCCATGCCCACTTGTGATAACCAAAAAATACGGGGCAATGCAAAATTCTCAGCTCTATTATAGTCTTAGCCCAACTGTGGCTTATATGGTCCTTCATCTACCAGTGGCTTATATGGTCCTTCATCTACCAAAACATGGTTGCATGGCACATGACTCGGGTGCAAAACAATCACTTTGGAAATGATATGACTTCGCCCTCTTTATCCTCTTTTAGGTCTTTGTTGAGTATGCAAATGCTGGTGATTCCAAAGCTGCTCAGAAGTTGCTGACTGGAAGGATGTTTGATGGGAAGTTTGTTGTGGCTACATTCTACCCGCTGAGTGCCTACAAGAGGGGATATCTGTATCAAACCTTGCTTTAATCAGTAACCTAAGACTTTCCTGTTTCTCCTCTTCCATTTCTTGGATTATTGTATTCTACACCTGAATGCAGGAGCATCCCTTTGCAATTTTAAGGGGGTACTTGTACATTTATTTAATCCTTCCAGTGTGCAGCCAGTGCCAAAGCAGTGACTGCATTGCAAACGTTTGGCACTGAGTAGGACAAGACCTTTCAGCTATACATGGAGGGGTTCTAGAGCATCCGTATGAGCAACCTCTTCTTGTGCAGTAGGGCAGGTGCTGCTCTTCATTATGTAACCTAAAGAGTTATTAATTATTTCATATGATCATGAAGCAAGGATCAGTTAGATATCATAGTGAATATTAACAAATTCGTTAGGATTGGTGACATCACAGATTATTCCTTTATGTTGTCAGGTGGTCTTATTGTTGATATCCATAGCTGGCACTGAATGCTCCCAATAATGTTAAGTAATTGTCAAGCAGCAGTTACCCACTGTGTTCTTAACACTGAGTTATGAATTTTTTTAAGGGAGTACTGTAGTACTTAATATTCCTTTAAAGAAACTGCAGTGAGCCTATCAACATTTTTTAAATTATTATTAAGGCTTTTTAAATAGAAAGCTGATGCTTGATCTTGCACAATTTTTATGTCTAGTATGTATGCTTGAGTGGGTATGCAAGTGTGAAAGATTAGAGAAAATTTGAGTCAGTGTTGTTTATAGTGTGAATCTTGTGAGCTAATACAGTCTACACCCATCTCCTTCCTACCCGTTCCATATCTATAATATTTAGAATATTGGTGTTTTTTTTTCCTTTGATGGTTGGTCTGACTGATAGAATGTAAATGACAAAATAGTTCATTCCTAAGAGACTTCAAATAAATTGGAGTCTAGACCAGGGTTACATTGAAACTCTTTAAGTAATTGAAACAAAAACAAAAAGTGGTACATATAAATTTCTCCATCCTTCAGTCTAGTCTCTGGATTGGCTTATCTATTTTTGTCTTGAATCTTCTGTAATTGTAAGATCTCTCAAAATATGATTCTACTTACTCTGATAAAAAATTGCAGTGTGGGTTAAAAAGGAAATTGGATGGACAGTGAAGGGAAAAGAAAAAAATGCAAAGAGAAGTGGATAATTAAGGATCCTATTTTTCTTCTATTCTGCCTCTTATCTGCCTCCCCTGTACTCTTGTTTTCTCCTCCAATCCTTTGCCTCTGTCATTAGCTGAAGAAACAGTAGAGGAACAGCATCCCAGGTCATCTGCCTTTGACTGTAGGAAGTAAAGAAAGGTGCAGATATAATAAGGTTGGATAGAAAGAAAAGAAAAACTGGATTAAAGGATTCATAACAACAAATGTGTTCCTGAACAGACAATGCCAGTATAGACAGGTTTTAATCAACTTCATTAAGTAATTAAGAATTATAATTATGGATTTTTTTCAGTTTATAGTAAACTGCTTTTAAAGATATATAAAATTAGGAATCCTTTATGAAGCATTGATTATACAAAAAATATGGTAAGTTGTATACAGTTCACAAACAAGTAATCATTATTTTTTTCCTGTTTCCTTACCTGAATGAAAATTTGTATTTTTTCCCTGCTGAAAGCTACTCATGTAGTCTTCCCTTGCATGTATCATGCAAGTTACTGAGTCTTAATTTTAATTTTCAAGAATTGTTTTACCATGTTCAAACAATCACTGACATTTAGTTGTAGTAATCAAATTATTCAATATTCTCCTTTAGTATTTATTATGAAGCCAAATTTGATATAAGGGGGCTGATTTGTGAATTAGCAAAAGGTCTGGTTGCAATGTTCTCAATATGAGCCCTTAGAAGAACCATTATTTTTTATTTTGGCCCTTTCAGGAGTGGATTGGTTGATTGGCTTTCAAGTCAGAATCAGAGGACATAAATAGAACTGGTACTGTGAAGACCTGAGGTTTTCTAAAACATCAGTGTTTATATGGTTAACTACTACTACAGTAACTAGCAAGAGTTCCTTCCTTATAGACCTACTGATGAACACAGTACAAATAAATTTCTTTTGAGGGCAAGTATTTTAGGTTAACACATGTACTTCTTTCCCCTACCCTTAACCAAGAAGAGAAATCTTTACAAAGAAATTGCAGGTAGGCTTTTAAGCTTAGTAGTGTAGTATGCTGCTAACATTAATGCTGCACCTACGGTATTCTTTGACCACCTTACTGTGGATGTACTCATACATACTGTAGTGTTTAACACGGTAGAATTTTATTACAGAAGATGCTAACTAGAGAGGTGAGAGAATAATTGATGGGCCTAAATAACCATGCATTGAATTAACTTTTATAGTAAATCCACAGAATTGAGGAAAGATGTTTACTATGATTTAAGTCATTTGATAGCTTTTAGCCCATTATACCAAAGATGTTATTTGCAGATTCTCTCCCACCCTCCTCTAATATTATAAGAAATTTCATCTTAATATCTTTCCTAAACTGGAACCAAATATAAAAAGATACATTCTTCATGATTCTCTTAGTATGAAATGTATGCACAGGAATTTTGATTCTTTGAAATGATTGAAGACCTAGACATTTTCTTGTTGAGATGCAGGGTAAAGAGGTAAGTGTTCATATCTCTTCACCCCTAACCTTTGGGGCAAATTTTATCTCAGGTGATTTTTCTTTCTGTGCTTCCTTCCCTCTGGCCTTCTCAGTTTCTTCCTTATTGTTCATGGCAGTGCCATGGCACATGATGCCCCAGGAAAAGCATGATAAGTGATTATTTTAGAGGAACATGGGTTCTTGAAAAGCATAATTGGAAGAGATAGCAAAACTGTATAGTTAGAGGAGAAAGGAAATGAATTGCACTAGCTAAAAGTAAGTGCTGACTGCATTTTAAAATAATTGAAGAAAAATACTGTCCTTGCAATAAGTGATCTTGTTTATGAACACTGGATGTCTTCCTGGCTTTTGTGGCCAACAGAGTATCTCTCTTTAGAGACATTCCCTTTCCAGTACCTTGAGCCAAAACTATGGCTATAAAAGAACAAAAGCCACAAATACAGTTTTACTCATCCTGTTCATTTTAATTTAGAGGTGTGTAACTTTCTCTTGGTACCCACTGCTGAAGAGTTTTGAGATAGGTTGTTAACCTGCTAGTAACAGTGCTGCTATGTAGAAGAAGTTGAAGAACAAGTATAGGCATAAATCTTATTTCTGTTCCTACACTGGACTTTGTTCTGGTAAGAGTATCAGTTATGGAATAAATTAAAGGCAGAATTTTAAAAAAAAAAAAAACCTGTTTAGATGCTGTTTTATAGCTCTTTTTTTTAGTTCATTGACCAAATGCAGGTTACTCATTTTGGCATCATTTTGTCTTAGGTCTTACTTTCTGACTTCCTAAATTGGGCGTATCTTAACTAATTCTTCTATCAGCTGTACTTCGCAGTGTGGCTTTCTTTTATGATTAATGAAAATCGCCACAGTAACTGATAGTAATTCTAACAAGAGGGTTAGGGAGTTAAGACACTCAGAAAAATACATTTTACCGAGGTGTATGCAAGAGTACATACTAGATGGCTTTATTCAGATTAGGGTACAGATGGGATCACATCACAATATTTAGTCTGATGTGTGCATAAAGATTTGAGCAAGTGCCTTTTGTTTCCTGGAAAATTAAAACTCATTTGGGTGAAATCTCCCAAGTGGTAATTATAAAATCACAGCTATGGAAAAAAAAAAACCTCTGCCTTTTTCTCAGAATAAAGTTATTGAGTCACATAATATAAAATACAAAAGTCCAAAATTTCCTTAGGCTATTCATATTTGATTTTATTCCAATATTATATATGTTAGAAAAGTTCAGTTATCTAGTAAATCTAACTCTCCCTTGGATGTTCCCTTTTTGAAATGAGGTCCCTTTCTCAAATCTTAACACTCTCATTCTCTAATTTATTTTTGTCAAACATAGTCACATATAGACCAGTTCTTATTCACAATTATCTCAAAAGAATTTCCATTTCTTTTCAAGGTGCTTTGTAAATCACCTTTATTTTGAGATGGTAATTTTTCAAGTTACTGTTACTAACTTTCTCAATGGATATACAAACATTGAGTCCCCATTTCATGAAGGTTACCAGATTACCAGTCTCCTTTGGTATATTCATATTTTATGTCTTTAGAATACCCAGAATTTTAAAGATTTGTTTTAATTCTTTTTTTTGTTGTTGTTGGTTATGGGGCTTGAACTCTGGGCTTGGGTGCTGTCCTTGCGCTCTTCAGCTCAAGGCGAGTGCTCTACTGCTTGAGCCACAGTGCCACTTTCTGTATTCTAGTGGTTTATTGGAGATAAGAGTCTCATGGGCTTTCCTGCCCAGGCTGGCTTTGAACCATGATCCTTAGATCTCAGCCTCCTAAGTAGCTAGGATTACAGGCGTGAGCCACTGGTGCCCGGCTTGTTTTAATTCTTTATTCACTATGTTTATCGTGCTTTTATCCTAGCCATCTCTCCCAAGTCTTTTTCACTGTTTTAAATTATATGATAGCTGATGGATTTATACCATAGCAAGTACTGTGGACATTTAGGAAGGCAAACAACTTTAATTATTTTTTTCTGTAATTTTATAGGAAAAAATGATCTGTCAAAAATATAAAGTAAGCATTTAGAAAACTATATTTCATAAGTGATCATGAAAGTGATTGCATTTTATTCATTTATCATGAAAGTGATTACATTTTATTCATTTATCTACAGCTCAGCACTTTTTTAATTCTTTGTACTACATATGAGGATTATTATTTTAAGTTGGCATAGTTTGTGCCTTTTAGAATTACCATAAACATGAGTTACATTTATGGCACCATGCATACTGGAAATCAGGGGAACTTTCCCAATAATTGCCTGAGTATTACCATTAAATTGGGTAGCTGCCACAATAACATGCAGAAAATTGATGGCTCTTTGTAATGCTGTGTATATGAATTGAACATTTTAAAGGCAAAGAAAAGCACTCTTACTTGCCTTATATGACCATTAATCTTTGGTTTGTAAAAGAACTAATTTTGTTTTACTACTTTATATAATGAAAATAAGTCATTCACAGGGGGAAAAAACTGGAACTGTTCCTTTTTATTTTTTCTTTTCATTTTAGGAAAGTCTTACATAAAAATTAGAGCTACTTGCTTCTATAGACTATTGATTATCAGAATTGCTTTTAGACACTTTTTTTAAAATCCCACGTTGGAAATGCCTTGTCTCAAAATCTCCCCTTAATAATATTCATATCAGGACATTGAGTATGTAAAAGCAAATGTAGTGAGGTATTCTAAAGCATGCATAGATTGACTAATCTTTATAATTATTTGAATTATTTATTAGGATGGGTTGTCAGAAGACTGATGAATTTAATAGTAAAGAGAAGAAAGATTATAAAAATAGAGAGATGAAGGAAGAAAATGGTTCTTACTGCTATTAGTAATCTTCCATATAGTTAATCATCTAAAAATGATATTTATTTTTTAAAAATCCAGACTTGATAGCTGTAGCATAAAAACATTGCCTTTTCTACACATTCCTCATTTCCCCCAGAAAATTATTAGAGTTTATGAAACCAGTATAAATACCCATATTCAATTTGTCTTAATTTTTTAAAAGTAAATATTTAAATCCCAGCTTTTGTGTATTTGGTGTACACTACCATCCATGTGCATCAAGGATAGAAAGAAATGGGATCAGCTGTCTTGTATGTGTTTCCTTTTGCTCACTGGATACAGTGGGTGACATTTGTATGCACGAGCTGCACAGTTACAGCACCTTATGGAACTTAGTAATGTTTATTTATTATAGTAAAAGAAAGTTTCACTTTGTAGATTACTTACTTTGCAGAAGTACAAACCTGTCATATCTTTCATATCTTTTCCAGAAGGACTTACTCTTTCAATCTGACTTCATTTCTGAAAAATCTTAAGTAATTTAACATTCCTTAATAATCCTTTGGACAGTGTCAAATCTGAGGTAGAAGGAATTTTTCCCTAAAAAGGGCTCCATTTTTCCTGTCTTTTAATCACTCTTAGAAATCTGATTATGATTCATAAAGCTTAAGTTTATGACCTCCTGTGTCAGCACTGGAGTGGTTATTGGTTGTGAATATTAAAACATTGCTACTATTTTCCCTTGAAAACATGGGATTGCTGTTTTTGATAAGAAGATATGGTTAAAAATGTGAAAGATCACTTAAACCAAAGCCAGTTAAGAGGAGTATTCTCTCCTGTTGGTTTACCTTCACCTCAGAACTACAAGAATATCACAATATACAGCAAATAGCTGTCTGTAACATTTCTACCAGTTGTGTCAGTAGCATATTGGTCTTGACATTTCTTGGCACTGTGGTTCTCTATTTTTTGTGATGTCTTAATTTGTAAGTTGGTTTTTTGTTTGTTTGTTTAACTAAATGGGACTATAAATGTAGATAGATGTGTGTCAGTACCAAGAAGTTCTTTTCTCAAATCCCTAAATTTCTGATTTCCATTAAGTCTAGTATTTCTTTTTTCTTCTGAGTAGCAAAGGACTTTTATTTTCAGTTTTCCTATAGACCTATAAAATATGAATACTGTGTTTCAATGGACTTATTGCGTACTTTTTGCTGAAATTTTTTTCTGTAAACACAATTGCCTTGTTCAGTTTTGTTGTAAACTGACTTAAAATAAGATGCACTGTTGATACGCTTTCCAGTGTGTGTTTGATAAGAATGATAAAATAAAGCTTAAAGATAAAGGAATTGCTTTTTTATCTCAAATATTTCTAACAATATTCAAGTTGTAATAATAGGTAAGTATATTTATTAATTTTTACTAAAAACTAACATTAAAAATTTCCATACTTTAAACTGCATTTCTATATGATTTTTCATTTATTGAAGGAGCAAATCAAATAGACAATACTGAAATACAATTTTTTATTTTGGAAAATTATAGAAGTTGCCTGGTTTAAGAAGATTGACAGTTGGAAGATTTGAATTGTAATCTTGGCATCTTTTATCAAGTTGGATAAGCTTTAATTTACTGACCTAATTTTGACTGAAGCTGTGTTTTTATATTGTGTGGACCAACTGATATAGCAGGTGCACTAATAATAACGGACAGCTGTCAATTACAAAGTGTCAGCCCAGGTGGTGGCCCTATTTTCCATAGATTCTACAACATGTGTAAGGTTCTGAGACTAAATATTTCATATAACTTAGAAGTGGTCCTTATTTATTTGTCTGTCTGAGAGGGGCTCTGGCATGTTACTTGAGGAATTTCATGACTAATCTCATATATTTGGAGGAACATAATGTAAGTTGCACATTTTTATTTTTAAGAGATAAACCATACATTCACCTGAAACAACATCATATTGAAGTAAAAATGTTCTAAGACAAAGGATCATTTAAAAAGAATGGAATCCAAAATGAAGCAGCAATTGAACCAGTTGAAGTTAAAGAGAAAAGTATTGATCATATTTAGTCCAACATTTCTTAAGCCATATCCTTTGAAAATTAGCATACTGCATAACAAAAAAAAACCATTTTAGCCATAGACTAGGTTGAAAATACCACTCTGCTAAATAAGGGTTTCCATATACTGCATATTCTCCCAATTTTCTCAAAGAAATCATCTATTAAAACTTAGAGGAAGAGTTGGAAGGATAATGGACATTGATGCTAGTGTTCCCTCCATTTATTGTCAACTTACTGTCAGCCATTGTTTTCTCCCATGTGATCTTTATATGTATCAATAAAAATAACTTTCTGAACCATTTACAAGTTTTAGATGACACCTGACCTTAAAGTATTCTATAAGCAATGATACCTTTATCATGCCCATAGAATTTGACAATGGTACAGTAATTTCTAATAATAGCAGTCATTTTTCTCAGTTACCTTATATAGTATCTTCTATAACTTTCTTTCTCCAACCCAGGACTCAATCAGGGATTTCTTTTGTTATTAGTGTCTACAAGATTTTATGGGATGTTAGTGTTCTTTAGAACTATCTAAAATTGGCCTATTTTTACACTTAAATCTATTCCTTATAATTTAACATATGTTAACACTCCTGGACTTGTTTTCTTCATAAGGGGACAGAATTGGCTCTATTATTTAACCTCTCAGCTATGCTTGAAGGAGAAACAGAATTACATTACTAAGTACCTAAATACCTTTGACAAAACAGCAAATAGTGTATTACTTACAAAAGCTTAACTAATTTCAAGTATGCTTGGGAATTTATTCACTAATCACTA